AGGAGGCTGAGGAGCTGATGAGGAAGATTGAAAAGGAGGAAGAACAGCTGTCCTATGATGACCCAGACAAGAAAATCTACCACCTTTGCATTGTGAATTTGGTGATAGGAACCCTTTACTGTGCCAAAGGCAACTATGACTTTGGCATCTCTCGGGTCATCAAAAGCCTGGAGCCTTACCATAAAAAGCTAGGAACTGATACGTGGTATTATGCCAAAAGATGCTTCCTTTCCTTACTAGAAAACATGTCAAAGCACATGATAGTGCTTTGTGACAGTGTTATTCAAGAATGTGTCCAGTTCCTAGAGCACTGTGAAATTTTTGGCAGGAACATCCCTGCTGTTCTAGAGCAGCCCTTGGAGGAGGAGAGAATGCACACTGGGAAGAACACGGTCACGTATGAGTCGAGGCAGCTGAAAGCTTTGGTTTACGAGATCATAGGATGGAATGTGTAGTAATTTCTGCTACTGACTTATTTTAAAGGTTTTATCTTGGCATTATGTTTTCTCCCTCAGCTTTAGCATTTTCACACTTTTCGCATGCTGTGCATTGTTTACTTTAAATGTATATTCAGTTAGATATAGCGGCTACTGATGAGAAACTTCACCAAATGAGCCCAGCAGCATTTATTGAAAATTTCAGAGACTGTATGGAGGAAACCATCCAAGAGGGCTTATAATGTCTGTGTCCTTTCCTTGTTTCATTTTGTGCTTTAGTGTGTTTGTGAACATTATATCATCCTTGGAGGGTGTGTATCAACAGTGAACTGTAGTTACATTACGTTCGGGCTTTACAAGTTTTCCAGGGGTAATGTGCTCTGCCTCAGTTTACCCTCATCATTTTACTTGTAGTGTAGGAGTTTGCACACTTCTAGGAGTTTTTAAAGTATTTTTTCTGTTGTTGTTCTTTGAGTTTTTGTTTTTGATTTTTTAAAGAAGTGTTTAACAAAAGTTTTCATGTTGTTAGTGATTTTTTTTCTTAGAATGTACAAATTTCAGTGTGAAATTTTGTTCCTAAATAAAAGTGTAGCGCCGTAGCTTGAAGACAATAAACAATATCTGATATTTTTACTGTTCATAATGGGCTTTAAGCATCAATTGATAATATAAGTAATTTTAAAAGTTAATATTTAATTCCTGTACTTGTGTAGCAAATAGAAGGCATTAATGCTGGGGTTCTCATAGTATCTTGGCAGAGGGAAATACATTTTATTCTATTTGACATTGTCAAAGTCCCTTCTAACATTAATGGCATATATATTGATAGGTGAATTATATTTATGTAATTGGAAATTATATAAACACCATTTGGGGCTTTCTTTTTAAATCATTTTACCAGTTTCATGGCCACAGTGTTCCCAGATAGCTCTCAGGGGAAGCTCTTGGCGAGTGCTACTCAGTGCGCTCAGCCCTCATTTCCTACACACAGAAAGGGCTTTAACCCTTGTTTTTCCATGATGTCCTTTTGTTCTTAATAATTCTTGGTCTGTCTTCGAGAACAACATAAAAAATAAGGCTTTGAAAGTTTTTAACACAAAAACCCAACAAATTCTCACAATGCGACAACAGCTTTCTATTACCTCCCTGCTATGATTAAGTACTTTTTTCTTTTCTTCCGGGAAGAAGGAGTTGCTTATATGTTCACAGGAATGCATATACACACACACACACACACACACACAATGATCTCTTTAGGTAGAGAAATACTTGCAGGAGTGTCAGAAAACTGGGCTGTAATGTTTTTTCAACATTATTATTTGACCTGTTACTCAAGATGCGATGATTCCGTATCTCAAAGAAACACAGAGAAATACTAAAAAACTACTTTACGTTCAAAAGACTTTCGGTTTGAGTAAGTGAACAAAACGGCGCTTCCTTTCCAAGACTGGCTAGTTTCTTCCCTAACAAACCAACTTCCGGGATACGTTAAGAACCTTCTTCAGACTTCCATTTCCGTTGGCTTGTTGCCCTGGGAACAAGAACACTCAACAACCTTGACAGTTATGGCGGGGCTGAGCAGCTCACAGATCCCCGACGGTGAGTTCACGGCGGTGGTGTACAGGCTCATCCGCGACTCCCGCTACTCCGAGGCGGCCCAGCTGCTGGGCGCAGAGCTGCAGAGGAGCCCCCGGAGCCGCGCCGGGCTGTCGCTGCTGGCCTACTGCTACTATCGCCTGCAGGAGTTCGAGCTTGCTGCAGAGTGCTATGAGCAGCTGAGCCAGATGCACCCCGAGCTCGAGCAGTACCGCCTGTACCAGGCCCAGGCGCTCTACAAGGCCTGCCTGTATCCGGAGGCCACCCGGGTCGCCTTCCTCCTGGACAACCCCACCTTCTATAGCCGGGTCCTTCGCCTACAGGCAGCTATCAAGTACAGCGAGGGGGACCTGCCAGGAGCCAGGAGCCTGGTGGAGCAGCTGCTGAGTGGGGAAGCTGGAGAAGACAGTGGAGGGGAGAATGACCCAGATGGTTTAGTTAACCTGGGTTGTCTGCTCTACAAGGAGGGACACTATGAAGCTGCCTGTGGCAAGTTCTTTGCAGCTTTGCAGGCTTCTGGCTACCAGCCTGATGTATCTTACAACCTGGCTTTAGCTTGTTACAGCAATAGGCATTATGCCCCTGCTCTCAAGCATATCGCCAATATCATTGAGCGAGGCATCCGTCAACACCCAGAACTAGGTGTGGGCATGACCACCGAAGGCATTGATGTTCGCAGTGTTGGCAACACTGTGGTCCTCCACCAGACTGCTCTGGTCGAAGCCTTCAACCTCAAAGCAGCCATAGAGTACCAGCTCAGAAACTATGAGGCAGCCCAGGAAGCCCTCACTGACATGCCACCCAGGGCAGAGGAAGAGTTGGACCCCGTGACCCTGCACAACCAGGCCCTGATGAACATGGATGCCAGGCCTACAGAGGGGTTTGAAAAGCTCCAGTTTCTGCTCCAGCAGAACCCCTTCCCCCCAGAGACCTTTGGCAACCTGCTGCTGCTGTACTGCAAATATGAGTATTTTGACCTGGCCGCTGATGTCCTAGCAGAAAATGCCCACTTGACCTACAAGTTCCTCACACCCTACCTCTATGACTTCTTGGATGCCATGATCACTTGCCAGACAGCTCCTGAAGAGGCTTTTGTTAAACTTGATGGGCTAGCTGGCATGCTGACTGAGCAGCTCCGGAGACTCACTAAACAAGTTCAAGAAGCAAGACATAACAGAGATGATGAAATTGTCATAAAGGCTGTGAATGAATATGATGAAACTCTTGAGAAGTATATCCCTGTCCTGATGGCCCAGGCGAAAATCTACTGGAATCTTGAAAATTA